ATAAAGCCTTGCCTTTATTATAACAAAAGCTTATGCATACATATAAAAAATCTGTACAATATATACACCGTTGCCTGTTGGATTACCAAGCAACATCAGACTATACACCAAGAATGACAACCATTGGCAGGTATAATCATTACAACCAACATTAAAAGAAAATAATACAACAGTGATCATACGAAACAGATAAAAACATAATACTATACATTATGTACCACTGGATAATATTTTCTTTCTCTAGCATATACGGAATGCTTACAGTGGAATGAGCATACGACGGAAAAATCGTTCACAAGAAGTCCCTACCTTAAGGGTAACTGGAGTGTTTAATGGAATGTATAACGAAAAGATGGAGTAAACATCGTCAATGCCTGACTTGTACTGGAATGTGTCTTGTGTGTGGAAATGCCCACATGTTCAGTTAATACTATCAGCCAAGTAATGGAAATCGATGGGGAAACACTATGCAAGTTGCATGTTGCATGCCAAGGTAGTAATATTATATTATTTTCATAGATTTATTATATTCTTAACATTAATAGAATACTGATCAAGTCTTTCATCGGATGTTGCTTTCTTATACATTACAAGCATTTGAGCAAGAATATAGTATAAAGGAGATCATATTATCAATCAAACTGTCCATAACAACTAGTTTACATTACAGAGATCATATACAGTATATAGAATATTAAGATCATATTAAAGTGTTAGTTAACAAATATAGCCATCATAGAAAGGCACAAGTATAACGTTTGGAAGCATCAAAGATCACTGCTTTCGTAAGGCACTAGAGATGCAGTTAAGCTAAATGCAGCATTAAGTGGACTGCACACCCACGCACTTTGCAGTGGGCGTGCTTTAAGCTGCATTAGTTAGGAAGCTCGTAATATATTGGTTTTAGTAACTATACTGAATCATATAATATACTTGAGAATCACCATGAAGGAATCAAAGGGTTAAAATATGTCTTTATAGTTAAGATACTGTTAGCATTTTGGTTTTACATGTAGAACACAAAACATAGCAAAATAATCGTAAACAACTCGCTGAGCATTTGAGTTTTACGAGATTATTATCTTGGCGAAAGCCATCTTGACACCAGAGTCGAGTTTCGTGAAGTAAGCTTTGACGTCTTTATAATGACGAGACAGGAGTGTAGAACTGGCATTCCAAATTGTGTAATGATACAATGATATATGCACAGTCCATATGAAATGCGCGTATAAGCTATGCCTTTGTGACCATCTAATGAGCACGTGTTATTGTTTTATATATATAGGAAAATATGAGTAATCACAAGCGCACGCACACACAAACAAACACACACACACACACACACACACACACACACACACACACACACACACACACACACACACACACACACACACACACACACACACACACACTCAATTTGTTTTGAAATACAAGCGAAACTCCTCTGGGATCTAGATACGGCGACGCCAGCCAAACACAGGGCAAACTTTGGCGAAAGTATAAAATGTCTTATTTAGGCTCTGCTGCACTTTTGACTAGACATTCACAAAACCAAAAAAATATATAAAAAAGTACAGTAATGCAGATAATTCCTTCCCCACCAAAGAGAAAAATGAATATATGAACTGTATTTTCCCATCTTTTTATCTTGTCATGCTTCTTTTGAAGTGAGTCTGCTAGAGTTTTACAATACTAATAGGAGACTTGTGAATCTACAACTTCAAGACACCAATGAGACAACGGGAGACTTGTAGCTACAACGGTCCCCCAGTGCCTGTCCGTTGTTGGCTGTTATACCTTTTTTTTTTCTTTTGTTCACTTGCTTTATGGTTGGTCGACCGGATTTTTCTTTGTATCGCGTTGCTCTTCTAACTCTTCTCCCTTTACCGCCTCTTTCTTCGCTGTAGCCTTCCTTATTCCTGGGGTTAAATCCGTTGTGGAACTGCATGGTATCTGCAAATAACGGAAAAAACAGGGTTAGTATATAAAGTTGTACAATTTACAAAAGATTTCGATTATGTAAGTGCTCAGTACTCTTACTTAATTACATTCTCTCTTCCAATATCTGGCACACAAGCCTCTTTCACTTTCACATTCTCAGGGGTAACCCTAAAACTAGAAACCCGGGCTGGGAAGGGACTAGGAATCGCCTTCATTATGTCACGCACAATTACAGCCGCTCAAATCACGAAATGTCAGTCACGGGAAAATGTTCTGGAGCTGATCCAGGAGCATCAGGCACAGTGACGTCAGATAAACGATGACGGTTACAACATTACTGGACTTGAAGTGCTCTGTGCTGCTGCTATTATGAGTTACTCTCAAAGTTCAGTACATACAGAGTACCTTCCCGAACAACAAAAGATTTACGTGCTTCGTATACTGAATGAAAATGATGAATAATGAATTCCTTTCACCTTCTCTCTCCTTTTTTTCATTTTGGATTCTTTAAAGCAGAATGAGGATGTAAACGAGCTGGCTGCATTACAAATGTTAACCATGGGAACTCGAGGTACTCAAAAGCCCATGAGCAATTCACTCGGCCATTCACCAAAGGAGGTAGGAAGCAGTGGTTCCTTTTCACTGTGGAACTTACCGATTATTATTAGCATTAGAAAGTGGGCAGCCCCTTTCTGCCTTCCTCTTCTTGCGAGACGGCAGCGTCCTCGGACTCGAACCCGGCAGGCTCTTCGGGAAGGGCGGTGGTCGGCTGGACTCCGGCGCTGGGTCCTCCGCACAGCCTGTTCGTGCGTCAGGAAGACTCGGTCGGCGGACTCTCGAGGCAGGGAGATCGGCTTTCCTTGGATTCTTGGAATCTTCTTGGTGGGCGACATTCACGAAGCGAGTCAGTAGAACTTGAGAAGCTATAGTAAAATACACGCCTTGTTCTTGAAAGTTTAAGATATAAAGCTCCAAAGTTATGAGGACTTAAAGACTTTAAAGTTTGGAGACTGTGTCCTCAGAAGGTCTCCTGGACTTGGTAGAAGATGGACTGGAGAAGTTGACCAGCAGTACATGATGATAGACAAGCATGACTAGATTCTTTCCCTTGTAGGATCTGTGGAAGAGAGAGAAGGAACATTGGAATTACAGTCACATACCATTTAGTAGGATATATGCTATTCAACAACCTTAAAATTTACTAGCAGATTTACTCTTTGCATACATGTTATTCAGTATGTGATTCCTAAATTAATTCCTCTGCCCCTTCAACATCAGAATATCAGATAAAAAGAAAAAAAAAAAAAAGAAAAAAAAAAACTTATCCGCCCGTCTAGACAGCACTGAATTGAATTTCTCCAAAGCGTGGCCCGTTTCAATAGCGGCATTCAATGGACAGAATTATATTTTCCAGTTTTTCAAAAGACAAGTTGGCGAGAGCATTAATTTCGCGCCTGTTGGGAAAACGACGCTCTCTCCAAATATTCTCTCGGAGACTCCAATGCCGATCAGGTAATAATCCTCGAGCGGCCGTCCGCAGTTATTATCACGTCATCAGTGGCGTCATTTATCAGAATTCGCCATAAATGCACCCGAGCATAAATTCATATCAGATCTAATCTCCGCTTCCTCTACAGCAGCACAAACGTGTCCATAGGGCCGGGTTAGGGTGAGGGACGGAGGGGAGGAGTGAGGAGGAGGTGGAGGAGGAGGAAGGTAGGGGAATAGGGGGGGTTGAAAGTACAGCCGGGGAGGGGGAGGAGGTTGGTTGCTCACGAGTACTCGGATCACGGATTCACTTTTCTCATCTCCGATTCATTACCACGACGAATTCTTTGGCCAGATCGATACTGTTGAATCTTAAAGTTAGTATCTATAAACGAGGTGGCTGCGAGGACAAGACGCACAAGATAAAATCAGGAAAAAGAGAGAGAAAATTCTACAGATTATCGTATCTCTGGTGGCGGGAAGCAGGACAAAAGCAAGAGTCCGGCGGGATACGGACCACTGCACTACTTCGCCCCTGTGTCCGAACCCCTGCGCTCACGACTTCCCTTTCTCTGATATACATTCCTTTTTCCTTTTATTATCGCAAGTCATTGTGCGGCCCACGGATCCCGATCCTTTTATGACTTATTTCGGACAATCTCGTGATACAGAAATCAAATGATCTGTGATATAGCTGCCCCGTAAATAAATTTTCAAAGTCGGTGTGCCACGGATTTCTACTTTTCCTACCCGTCCCCGCCGAGCCGCGAGAGAGCCGAGGTTTGCTTGCCCGAGACGACGCGGGAGGGAAATACTCAGCTACGCACGTACTCGTCGGGGGAAAAGCGAGTGAAGTTAGTTGTATTTCCCTCTTGGTGCTTTATCCTTACGTCTCAAAAAGTTGTATTCCAAAAATGGAGTCTGCATGACGAAGACTTATCACGAAACCCTATAAGCTGCAAACGTTAAGTTAAGAGCAATGAGATCTACAAGAATAATTGAACAAAAAACGAAAGAGGGATCTGCAAATACGTGATGAATCTGGTTCTCCCGCCTTCCGTCGCCGCCAATATATATATATATATATATATATATATATATATATATATATATATATATATATATATATATATATATATATATATATATATATATATATATATATATATATATATATATATATATATATATATATATATATATATATATATATATATATATATATATATATATATATATATATATATATATATATATATATATATATATATATATATATATATATATATATATATATATATATATATATATATATATATATATATATATATATATATATATATATATATATATATATATATATATATATATATATATATATATATATATATATATATATATATATATATATATATATATATATATATATATATATATATATATATATATATATATATATATATATATATATATATATATATATATATATATATATATATATATATATATATATATATATATATATATATATATATATATATATATATATATATATATATATATATATATATATATATATATATATATATATATATATATATATATATATATATATATATATATATATATATATATATATATATATATATATATATATATATATATATATATATATATATATATATATATATATATATATATATATATATATATATATATATATATATATATATATATATATATATATATATATATATATATATATATATATATATATATATATATATATATATATATATATATATATATATATATATATATATATATATATATATATATATATATATATATATATATATATATATATATATATATATATATATATATATATATATATATATATATATATATATATATATATATATATATATATATATATATATATATATATATATATATATATATATATATATATATATATATATATATATATATATATATATATATATATATATATATATATATATATATATATATATATATATATATATATATATATATATATATATATATATATATATATATATATATATATATATATATATATATATATATATATATATATATATATATATATATATATATATATATATATATATATATATATATATATATATATATATATATATATATATATATATATATATATATATATATATATATATATATATATATATATATATATATATATATATATATATATATATATATATATATATATATATATATATATATATATATATATATATATATATATATATATATATATATATATATATATATATATATATATATATATATATATATATATATATATATATATATATATATATATATATATATATATATATATATATATATATATATATATATATATATATATATATATATATATATATATATATATATATATATATATATATATATATATATATATATATATATATATATATATATATATATATATATATATATATATATATATATATATATATATATATATATATATATATATATATATATATATATATATATATATATATATATATATATATATATATATATATATATATATATATATATATATATATATATATATATATATATATATATATATATATATATATATATATATATATATATATATATATATATATATATATATATATATATATATATATATATATATATATATATATATATATATATATATATATATATATATATATATATATATATATATATATATATATATATATATATATATATATATATATATATATATATATATATATATATATATATATATATATATATATATATATATATATATATATATATATATATATATATATATATATATATATATATATATATATATATATATATATATATATATATATATATATATATATATATATATATATATATATATATATATATATATATATATATATATATATATATATATATATATATATATATATATATATATATATATATATATATATATATATATATATATATATATATATATATATATATATATATATATATATATATATATATATATATATATATATATATATATATATATATATATATATATATATATATATATATATATATATATATATATATATATATATATATATATATATATATATATATATATATATATATATATAGTAGTAGTAGTAGTAGTAGTAGTAGTAGTAGCAGTAGCAGTAGTAGTAGTAGTAGTAGTAGTAGTAGTAGTAGTAGTAGTAGTAGTAGTAGTAGTAGTAGTAGTAGTAGTAGTAGTAGAAGAAGCAGCAGCAGCTGTAGAAGAGGAGCACTAAATAGTAAAAGCCTAGTCATGGAGAAAGTAATTATGAAAGTGCAAGTGGTTTCGAGGACAGAAGCCACCGCACACACACCAGGACACAGACGGAACTGCGGCTTCCCTGCGCCCTGAATACCTGCTGCTGAAAGCTTAACGAGCGCACGAAATTTACGATCACAGACCCAAAGGAAAGACGGCTGTATATCCATCTTACAAAAATGAGAAAAAATCCTATTCGCATACGAGTTCGAAAAGTAGCCTTGCTTCTTAAAACGAGATATTGCTATACATTCCCAATGACAAGTAAAAAGTATCACCCTCCTTCGGCCCAGATAAAAAAGAAGCAAAGAAATAGGACAAAGCTGACTCGCCCGGGATATTGGCGCAAAAACTTTCCCACGCGCGCTCGAATAAACAATCGTTTTGGGGTAAGAAACGGGAGCAGAATTTATGTGCACATATGTTGGCCCACGGGTCGGGGCATCGAGACCTGGGCGGGCGGGACCGAACACACACAAAGAGGAACCGTTGCTAGAGCCCGCGTCTAGTGTGACCCCATCACCCTCAACCTCGTTCTGTTGAGAACCCTTGAGGCTACGAGTGTGATACGCGAGATCGAGGGAAACCGAGTCATGGATATCCTTGCTTTTATAAACTATATCTTCTTACTTTTTTCTTCGGTGGATCAGTACTTTTTCTCTGTTGAAATCTCCAAAAGTAAAGCTCGGGCTTGGTACGACTGAAAAAAGTGAAATCTCAATGCATGCGTTCGTGCGTGCGTGTGCGTGTGCGTGCGTGTGCGTATGCGTGTACGTGTATGTATATGTATATGTATATGTATATGTTGGTATGTATGTATGTATGTATGTATGTATGTACGTATGTATGAATGTGTATATATATATATATATATATATATATATATATATATATATATATATATATATATATATACATGAATACATGCATAAACATACCTATATATAAATACATAGATATATATATGTATATGTATATGTATATATAACTACACCGTATATTCGAGTTCGGTTCTTTATGTTATGGAAAAATCTCATTTTTCTTCAGTCGAGGCTAAGAAGGAAGCCATTATCCCCTCGAGCCCAGGTGGGGCGGGAAGGTGTTTATCACGACATCCGTCCCCAGGAAGCTGATAGGATTATAAAGACTTACGGAGACCTCTTTTAAGCTCTTTCTACCTGGAGGAGATCGCACTGCTTTCAGCCGGAAAGGCATCTTCGTTATGCCGCCGTATTAAAGAAAGACGTCACAAGATTCGGTAACCGAATATCGCAAAAAAGATGAGTTACCTATGGCTCCAAGAGCCCGAACTCTAAAACTTGAAACATTGCATGAAATACTAGAATAATACATTCTAGTCGACGCAAATTTTCGCTCACTTCACAGGACGATTTTTCTTTTTTTTTCAGATACTCCCCGCACACCCTCTCCTTCCCATACAGCAAACTCCTGCATTTCACTGAACATACCCCGTGACACAAGGATTCCTCTTAGCACAAACTTATAAATGAAGCAAAAGCACGCCCACGTCCACATACACGGCAAGCGTGGCTACTGACCTGCTATTGACACTGTTGCCACAGGGCGATGGCGTCTAGTAGCTCCTCGTCCTCGGGCGACGTGGCTGACTCGTAGGCGTCCAGGGGGTCGTAGGTGTCCGGCAGGGTCGTGGTGCTGGCCGGGTTGAACATGTTGCTTAGGCTGGTGGTGGTGACCGTGACCGGCGTCTCGTGGGAGGACTGCGACGAGTACGCAGAATCGTACGAAGGCGTTGGGGACACCGCTGCGTCACTGCACGTGGGAGACACTGCAGATACGTTCATGGGGTACACTGACGCAGGCACTGGTGACACGTTTTCACTGTAATAGTAGCTTGGGTACTGTAAAACACGGTACTGTTGCTGGGACAAGACGGTCGTGGGCGCCACGGCGTTGGTGTAAGGGTGTGATGGCTCCTTGGGCGCGGGCGAGGGCTGGCTGGAGGCGACGAGCGTGTTGGTGCGGTGCATCAGGGCATCGTGCGTGTCCAACAACTCTTGTAAGGATCTTATATACTCCACTGCCTGTTTCAAGGTTTCTACTTTGCTAATCTTCTTGGCTTTGGCGGCTCCGGGTATGTGTTGGCGCAGCGTTGCAAAGCCGTTGTTCACTTGCTTGACACGGTTCCTCTCACGGGCATTTCGGCGGGCCACTGTCACGGGCACTGGCGACACTACATACCCGACGCCACTAAAGTTGATGCGTCGCTTACACTTCACAGGTTCGGGACTTGGATCTGCCAATTTCCTTTTGAGTCCCGTCTTGGGCGGCGTTAACGTGGCGGGAGAAGCCGAAGTTGTGATCACTGTGACGTTCTTAGACACTGTCACGCCCTTGTGTGGCGATGGCCGAATTGGCACCAGGCGCTGTGTGGTGGCAACCGACATCCTTGTGGAATACACGTGCAGTACGAGAGGCGGACGTCTACTAACTACCTTAAAAGCCGCGGCTCCTATTTGTAACCTCGTTTACTAAGCCACGCCTTCTCTCGCCAGGTGACCGTCTGCCCGATGCCAAACTTACCTGGAATATTCTTCCTCGAGTAATATAATTTACAAAATGTATTATTTTTTACCCAACACCTTCCTTGGGGTGATCTTAAAGGAAGTAGTGCAATTCTGGTGAATAGCCCATTAAATATTCCCCCAATAAATAGGTGTTTCTATGAAGCGTCCAGCGAGGCCTGGCAGTGAGACAGGCGCGTGGCTACGCTCGCGACCAGGGCGCGTGCCGTAGCGTGGGGACCGAACACTGCTGTCTTGATCTTATTTTACATTTTCTTCCTCCGCATTTTTAAATCTTATGGCTGGGCAGATATTTCTAGTAACGAAAGTTAGATTTATAAAATTGATTTTAAAGGGGCATCTATCCGAAAATAGTGATCTCATAGACACGTTATTCCCCATACAGATAATGACACTTGGAAACTCATAGTCCTTTCATGATGAGGGGGAGGGGAGGGTCAGTTATCAGTAGCCAACCCGCACACACGAACATACTCAGTGACAAACGCACATACGCACATTACTTACACATACGTACACAATGTGCAAGCCAATTGAAACGCACATACGCGTGCCTGCCTCACCCAACTAGTTGTCGTCA